TGGTTAATGTTAAAGCATTCTCTTGTCAACATCATGCAAAAAGAAAAACTGCCACAATTCATTTAAGCACTTTATTACTCTTTATTGAGAGAATACATGTAGTCTGGTTGTGATATAATATAGACAAGTTGAAAGGTTAAAATGTCAGTTCCTAGGTTACCAAGGTCCAAATATACGCAAATACATACAATAAAATATGTTTATACTGGGAGAAGATTACTTAATTTTCAACTACTTGCTTCTACTTCTAAGTGACTATTCAATATTTAATACCAGTGTTGGATAAATAAAAGGTGATCATCTGACAAACACTTCTTTTCTTGTGCATCTTAGTCATGCAGTGCAGATGCAACTTCAACTATACTGATATTTATTTTCAAAAACATAAAAAATAAAACCCACTGAGCCCACTTTCTAGTCATCACTTCCTATCACGCATGATCAGTCACTGCTAGGTCCTGCCACTAGGGGTCAGCACTCAGACCCTTCTTGAGCCTTGCCATTCGAACTTCCTCCATCAGTTCTTTGAGATACTCGATCTCTCTGGCCATAGATTCGGCCTTCTCTGCCAGCTCTAGGTTCTTCCTCTCCAACAGCACGTGCTCGTCAGTGAGGGCGTCCTTCTCCGCTCTCTTCTTCTGTCTGTAGCGCGTGGCAGCAGTTTTGTTCTGCTCCATCTTCTTCTGTTTTTTGTCTTTTGGAGGCCTCAAAGCTGCACGTTCAGGCCCACCTGCACCGCGTGGGGACTTGACCTTGACACTGGTGGTGCTAGGAGAGGGCGGACTAGCTTTGTAATTTGGTTCCGGGTAGGGTCTGCTTCTGGAGGGTGTTTTTGGAGGGGAGGATGGTGGGGAGCAACAAATGACCTTTGACGTGGTGGCCGTGGTGATCCCGACTTCCTTTTTCGGGGCAAGCACGAGGACGATGCGAGTTGGTGAGAGTGAGAGTACAAGCTTTGGGACCTGAGGGACCACAGTGGCTACCACTGGCTTCACCTCACTCTCTGACACATCCACTTCACTGCCAAGGTCCAGGGTAAAGGTAGGGGAGGAAGGAGACTCTACTACGGGGGATTCAGGGTCTGGGGAAGTAGGCTCTGATTTGATTTCGAGCTCCTCTTGAGGCTCTGGGATACAAAGTGGAGAAGAAGGAACCTCCTGCCCATCGATGCAGGATTCAGGATCATCCACAGTGATGACAGCAGTATCTGAACAGACAGTGGAAGATGAAGGGGGCGGTGTACTTGAAAGAGAAGCAGAGGGAGGATCCATGAGCACAGGAGTTGAGAGAGCTGGCAGGGGGAGGGAGTCGAGCTCCATGGGGCAATCAAAGGAGGCCAGGAGGTCTTCTGGAGAGCTGTGAGACTCTTCAGCAGGACTGCAGGAGCCAATCAGTGAGTCCAGGTCAAGGTCACTAAGATCCACCTTCTCAGCCATCCAGTCCAAGTCATTGAGCGCATCCTCTGTGCAGGCAGAGCAAGCAAAACATAAATAAGTTATTATACTTTGTTACACTCTGACATCAAGTGTCTGAACTTTTAGGTGTCACTAGATATTTGTGCTCAACAGTAAGTCGTTACCTTTGCCGTCACCTGAGAGCGCCTGGCTACACGTCAGCTGACCTGGGTGAGCCAATAAAGGGAAGAGCAGATCAGACTCCATCCCGACTTTGTCCCCATGGAGGAGGAGGGCCGGCGGAGAGGGAGGAGGGGAGTAGAAGGGCGGAGGAGAAGAGGAAGACGACAGCGATGAGGAGGTGAGGGGGGAAGCAGGTTCAGCATCCCCCTCCAAGCTTCCTCCTCCTTTCTGTTGTTCTTTGTCAGGGCAGAAAAACAGCGAGTCCATGGCGTCAGCCATGGGAGAGGAAGGCCCCCAGAGAAGGGCCTCCATGTCTTCCTGGCCAAACTGTGAGCTGGTCATCATCATGGTCATAGTGGCTGTTGTTGGTCACAAATGGGGAGCGTGACAATGCTAGGGTAGCTTCGAATTCTATTATGCTGTCGAATGCAGCAGTGCTGAGGGTTTCCAAGTAGGACCTGAAGACAGAAAGATGAACAAATGTTTCTGAATGCCTGAACACCATTTTAGACAAACACACCCCCTTCACATTTATTACAGAAAAGTATGTTCAAGGATAAACAAAATCATCCTGAGTCAAATTCTTTTAATTTTTACCAACACTGCCCCCAAGACTGCAATACCAGTGATCTACATCACGTGTTTCCGCGCAGCTCCCAGTCTTATGACTCTGACGTAAGTCTGCTAGCAAGCGAGGTCAAAGAGTCCGTCTTCCTCCCCACAAAAAAACAAAACAGCTACACTTTTGTTCTCAGTCCGCCTACAGAGAGCCGCCATTTTGACACAAAGAGGAAACGAACCATTTTCTGAGTGCCACGTTGGCGCTTGGAGGCCGGCATGAGAACAAAAGTTTGATTAATCACAGTGTGAGAGAGGGTTTAGCGTTTTCACAGGTACAGTGTTACGAGCTTATTTGCGAAAACTGCGTCAAATGTTACAAATCGTGACAATAACACGTGTTGCGTCACTTCAGTTTTGTCGTCATTTGATTTAATATATTTTCAAACAAAGGTGTTTAGCGTTCAATTAAATAACTGTATGGCGTGTATATATTTTCACACTTTCTATATATTTAAAAAGATAACAGCAGACTCGTCAGACCGGCTCCCAGGCCACACGGTTGTCCCCGACAGCTGGTATGTTAAAAATAATACTTACGACATTTTTGCTGAATTAGAAGTGACTCAGTGCACTGGCTGGATGCACTGTTTTGTTGGCTGCTGCTGGGTCGCGGCACAATTTCACACTGCCATTTCGGCAAATAGCGCGGTGTCCAACAATGTCTGCTCGTTGTCTGTTCCGCAGGAGGGAAAATGGCGATAGTTGTGAGCAGTTCGCGATATAGAGCTGATGCAAGGAGTGGCAATATCCATCCGCCGTGCCCACATTATCAATCCGCGTCACACCCACTGTCTGCTGGCTGTCTGAAAAAGTAGTCACTGAAAATAAACTTCTGAAAGTGACGCAGTATTTATTAATACCACATCTTTCAATATATATATAAGCGTAACTGCCATTTATCTGTATAGATAGTGACTAACTGACTAATTGTTATAATAACATGTTTAGCAACAGCTTTATTATAAAAGTTCCTCTAACAGCCCTGTAGGAAGGTTTTTTCAAAGAACTACTTTTGGGTGGTTAATTTTTTTTAACAGAATTGAAAAGGATGAACTGTGCTGTTGTTACACAAGTGCCACTGGCATCCCTCCTATACCCATCAAAAAAGAATAAATAGTAACAAAAAAACCAAAACAAATAAATAAAAACATCATTATGCCAGAGGGTGTGATTATAGAGTGTAATAACAGTCCTGACAGTTATTATAGTGTATGTGGGATTGCGTGAGGGTTGTTGGAGGCCACAGCTCAGTGGAAAAGCAGTTCCTCACCCTGTTTGTGCTAGATTGCATTAGTCTGTATCTGTGTGTCTATGTGGTTGCAAAAAAGTTCAGATAGATAGTGTTTGAGGTGTCTGAAATGATGCTGCTGACCTTCTTCCTCAGATGTTTGTTGTAAATATCTAGGTGTGAGAGCTCCAACCATTTAAGTGTTCACCACATGGTGAAGGTCCCACAGGTGGGACGTTTATGATCAATTATCTGGTCTCACTGGTGTTAATGACAATGCTTTTCTTCTCATAACATTCAACTAAGTGAGCCACTTAAAAGGTACTCTATATTGCCAAAAGTATTTACTCATCTGCCTTCTCATGTATATGAACTTGAGTGATGGATGTACCCTACCTCATATCCTATGGCAGCTGGGATAGGCTCTAGCCCTCCCACAAAAACTTGCTCCTCCGTGTCTCTGTGGGCCTTGCTTTGTACACTAGTGCGCAGTTATGGAAAGGAGCATCCCCAAACTGTTCCCACAAAGTCGGAGTATGAAATTGTCAAAAATCTCTTGGTATGCTGAAACATTAAGGGTTCCTTTCACTGGAACTAAGGGGCCGAACCCAACTCCTGAAAAACGACCCAACACCATGATTACATTTGCAAACATAGCTAATGTTTGAAGAAGCAGTCTGCATGCCTGGGTGCTTGATTTTATACACCTATGAAAATGAAAGTGACTGGATCACCTGAATTCAGTGATCCAATGGATGAGTGAATGCTTTTGGCACTATAATGCATATATGATCTATATTATGAAAATATTGAGATTTGAAATTGTTATATTTTGAATGATTACAACTATACAACTATCAGCCTCTTCAGCATCAGTTAGCGCTGCGCTGAACTTTATAAAAGGATCTTGATGGAAGCATTTTAATAAGGTTCCTGCAGGAGCCCCTCAAGCATTAATAGAGGTTCCTCCAGTAACCTTTTTATTTTTCCTAAATTGAGCTATTAAAGGTTCAGGGGAACAAGGTTCTTTGAATAACCCCAAGTTCCTTGAGATTATCCGAATTCTGAGGGAGTGCTGCGCTTAATGAGTCAAACATTCATCTTTTTTCCAGTTCTACCATGACACAGGTGTAGCGAGGAGAAGAAAACAAGGTGTATGTTGTGAAGCTAAAGCTAAAGCAAGGAGTGTGATATCCTTCTGCAGCATATCCTTATGATTTCTGCCATTGTTTGTATTCTGCATTGCAGCCACTGTCACTGACTCGTGTCCTAAAAAAATAAAAAGTAATTACTGATACTCAACTTTGCAGGTGATGCAGTACTGTTTATTGATACCCCACGATTAAATGCATACAAGAGTAACTTTTGTTAATTTATATAATTTAATCATAATTGTTATCAGGAAATTCAGTAGTAACTCCAACATAAGCATTTCCATTTTTACAGTGACGCAAATGTACAGGAACTTTCAAATCAATCAAAAAGGAGTCAAGTCAAACACACTTCACATCTCTGTCACACTAACGCGCGTGCCCACACACACACACACACACACACAAAGGACAAACACAGTGTTCTTTGATTCAAGATAACTTTTTCCACGTGTCAATCAGATAATCCAGTCCTTCCTGTAGACCATCAACCAGCAGGCAAACTTTACCCGAAAAAATGCTCTTATTTGACTTCTTCAGCTTCTGACCATTCTTTTCTGTAAAATAAAGATCCATTTCCTTGGTAAAAGCTTGAAGTAATTTCTCAGATGATGTCCCACCTGGTTGTGCAGCTCTCCCCCCATGAATGTCTGTGTTGCTTTTTCCATCACATAATATGTATAACATCCTCACCGCATCCAGATGAGCGCCTGCACTCTCTAACCTAGCAATGCCGTGCCTTCGCAGCTCCATCACTGTGAAGATAATATAATCTAGACAGCGTTCCAGATCAGCGACGCCTTCCATGTAGTTATTTACCAGTTTCTCAACTGCCGTCCTCGTCACCGTCTTCTTGCTTACTATAGCGGCGTGAGCGCCCATACCTCCAGCGGATGCAATCATGCCAGCGCCGACAGCTGTCGCAATCAGCGAGGCACCCATGGTCACCGGAGCTAGGACGATCCCCACCACTGCAGCTACCCCTCCCACAGAAGCCGTGGTCCCTCCGGCAATACCCATGTTTTTGTTGTTCTCCTTGATCTTGTTTAGCTTCTCACAGATGGATTTGAAATCTGTGATGATCTTCTGCAGGTCTTCTTTTCGTTTACTCATTAGAAGATTGTAGAGACGCCAAGCCTTTGCAACATTCATGGATCTCTGACTGACTGAGCTGCAAAGAGCAGTGACAGAAGAGACAAAAAGTTGTAGCTCATGTAATTAGATACACAACAGCTTATCTCGCTGACTTCCATCATCACGCTTATGCAGATTTTCATGTTTTTGGTTACCTCATTTCATCCTCTTTGCTGACACCGTAGAGTGACAAAGACGAATCAGAGGACGCTGAAATGATTGCACAGAAATGAAAACGATAAACTGGACGTAACAATATAATAATGCTCTGTGTTACCAAGGCTCATTTTTCACAAATCTTTTTCATGTTTTTTACATTAATTACTACTTCTTGGAATAAAAGAAAGAATAAAAATGCCTTTTTTCAAGGCAATTATGAAACAAATTTTTTCCTTACTTATTATTCTGTTGAACCAGGTCAATAGCCCGTTGAGGTCCTGAGGAAAACAGATCATTTTTATATGAAAATCACTCGCTGACGAGGGAAAGATCACATTGTACTAAATCACAGTTAGATAAAAGATCAAGTAGACTTTACAAGAAAACCCTGATCTTTGTCATGCATTTGCACTTGCCATTGTCATTTGTAAAAACAATGAACTGACTTACATCCATGTCCTTTTTACCGTAACAGTAACCAAAAGACAACTTTAATACATGTGTATATTATGAAGTGTGTGTGTCGTATAACTGCAGAGTGCGCTGTCTCTCTCACCAACTCATCTGAATCATCCTGAAGGATCTCGAGGTACCGAGGTGTCTCAGAGTGCAGTGATCCTCCAGACACTGAATGTGATGATGGTGGGTTCAGTGGAAGCTGTGGTGGTCTGTTCTGTAATGGACATAATATTTTGGTTGTCAGCTTTCCTATAACAGGAATACTTCAGTTCAGGCAAATAAAATAAGACATTTCCATAGCTGGAAATTGTTATAATCAACTTCAAGATCATTATTATTCCCATGAGTTTCACAGGTGACTCTGCTGTGGAAATTTTCCAGCCGTGAAAGCCGCTTGGCTCTCGCAGTTGTGTTATTGCTAGTCACAGACATGGTACACAGAGGAGAAATCCAATCCAACTGATTTTTCCTCTTATGTCAGGGTTTATACATTTATGTCACTGATGTTATACAATGGGTCCAAATTAGGGAGATAAGTAGGTGTAGTCCCAAAAAGGTTGATTCTGTTCATCTGGACTTAGCGTGGGAGAAACCTTTCGTTTTTAAGAAGATTTTATATATACTACTAGATATAAAATCCAAGTGCCTTAGTTTTAAAATGACTTGGTGTTCAGGACTGGCAGGCCTTTCAACAGTACAGATCATGAAAGAAAACCCACTTCTTCAAAGAGGCCAGTTGCTTGAAAAATAATTTGTGGCTTATGAATTCAATAAAAAACTGTGACTTTATAGCGTGATGAAACACAGAGATATTTTTTAAAAGTGATCAGCTGGTAGCTCAACGTACAGACTTGAAACTTGGACAAGTTGTCATGTTCCTGGGTCTGTTGACCCAGCGTTTTAAGTTTTAGTTTATTTGGATGTTGTTTATGTTTAAGTTCATTAGATTAGCGAAGTTCATTTGGTTATTAGACTCCTTGTGTTTTCTTCCCCTGTATTTAAGTTTCCCTAACCCTTTGTGTTTCATGCTGTGTGTCTTATGTTATCAAGTTTGTATTATCATGTCTGTCTCATGTTTCCTGTTTTATTTTGAAGGAGTCGTG